CTGCATTGGGCTCTCCCCTCCCCCGGCAGCATTCAGCCCTCCCCTCCCCCGGCAGATGGCAACAGGATGCCCTGTCTTCACTAGGTGAGAATCACCACGCTAAGCCAGCCCTTGGCAGGGACAGGGCGTGGTCATGAGCTGTGTTGCTGCCCTCAGCCCTGCCCTGGGCAGCCTGCAGCTCAGTTCCAGGGGTCCATCTTGTCTGCTGTGTGTACACTGAGAGCCTGGAAAGGGGATGGGGGAGAAGGTGTCTTATTTTAAACTCCTAAAAAGCTGAGTAATCATCACAGGTGCCGCTCACAGGCAGAGGTGTTGTCAGGAGAACCTGGTCAGTTCCTGATGACTTGCTTGCTTTTTAAAGGTTTATGCGTATTTGAAAGGCAGAATTACAGAGAGAAGGAGAGGCAGAGAAAGATCTCTTATCTGTGGTTTACTCCCCAAATGGCCGCAATGGCCAGAGCTGTGTCAGTCCAAAGCCGGGAGATCTTCCAGATCTCCCGCATGTGTTCAAGGACCCAAGGATTTTGAACCATGCTCTACTGCTTTCCAGGTTATAGGCAGGGAGCTTGATGAGAGGTGGTTTAGCCAGGACTTGAACCAGTGCCCATATGGGATGCCAGTGCCGTAGGTGGAAGATTAGCATGCTATGCCATGACCAGCCTGTTATATACTCTTTATAACCATGTTAGCCAGGGGATATTTTCAGCCACATTTTTTAGATCTGGGAACTAATGTTGAGAGAAGCCACAACCTCCCACCTCCCCATCTGTGGTTGAAGCTCCCACTCAAGACCTCCAGAGCCCCTCATGCCCGCAGTGGGAGCCCTAGGTCTACACCTCCTTATGAAAGTGCCGCAGGATGGGTTGCAGCCCAGGCGGACCCAAATTGCCTGAGTGATCTCTGAAGCGTCTGTCTGAGGACCTCCTGCCTCAGGATACCCCCTTCTACCCCCTCCCTCCCCACCTGCTGCTTAGAATCATAAAAGGGTTGGGGAATGGCAGGGGAAGCCTGTGCTGTTTTGAAGCTGCTAAGTGGCCTGGTCTAATGGGCCCTGTGGCAGACGGTGACGTCTGCTGTGGAGTGTCTGTGCTGGCATGGGTAGGACTTGCGAGCGGGGGTCCCTGTGACTGCAGTGCAGGGAACAGGGGTCGGCCCACTTTGAGGAGCCAGTGAGCAGTCTGGGCTCTGGGGACCCTGTGGACTTCTCCCAGAACTACACAGCTCTGCTGCAGTGACACAAAAGCAGTGGTGGATAGTCTGAAAGCAACGAAGCCGGGCGTGGCTGGCTTCCAGTAAAGCTGTTTTCCAAGCCAGGCTGTGGGGGCAGGAGCAAGCGTTTGACAGAGCAGAGCAGACACCCGGGTCCCAAGTTAGAGTGGCCTGGTTTGATTCCTGGTCTGCTGGTTCCTGATGTGAGCTTCCTACTGACGCAGATCAGGGCTGGCCGGAAATGGGGGGAGGAAAGGGGCTGGCGATGAGGGCTCACGTCATTGGGTTCCTGCCACCCATGTAGAACACCAAATTTGGTTCCTAGCTGCTGGCGTTGGCCCAGCCCAGTCAACCCTCCAATGGGATCTCTCTCTCGGTCAGCTGCTTTAAGCCAAGTCTACTAGCTCCTTATAGACACTTACCCAGGTCCACCAGCCCTCTTTCCATGGAAGTATTTCTTCCATTACTTTCTGTTACTTCTGGAAAGCTGTGCTGGTTAAGATAAAATTCCCCATCGTGGTAGCTAAACCCTGACTCACAGTGCTTTAAAACAGTGAAGGCCACTTCACACGCCTGGCCTAGCCCCGTGAGGGTATTCCTGCTTGGAATCTCCTGTGTGGCCTTTGAGAGGGAGGTGCCTTCTTGTGTCACGTTGTCCCCTCTCCAACCATTGGATGGAGAAAGAAACACACACTGATTGATCATTCATGGGGCATATTACGAGCTGGGTCTGCAAGAGGCACCCATCGTTTCCACCCAGATCTCACTGGCCTGAACTCTTAGGATTTGGGTTCTAGACACACAGGGATTTTCTTTTTTCCCCTTTCTTAGCCCATCATTCTCTGAGTCTCTATTCCCTTCCATCTTTCCTTGAAAGCCATCCAGTTCTCTCCCAGGCTCTCCTCTGCCTTGTGAAAAATCTTGCCAAGGTCAGCCAGTAGGAGCTAGCATGCTACTTTGTTCTGATTCTTTCTAGATATTTTCCCTGGAACTGGAGGCTCAGGGTGTACATGATCTGCCTTCTGAATTATGGCAGGTGTTAATTTGTACCACACGTTCTGCTGCTGAGTTGCATAGAGCCTCATTGTGGTTGTAGCCTTTGAAATCAGTTTCCTTCCTGGCTGCTGGCTGTCCACTAAGGATGTGCCACGTAGTGGAGGTTGTTGCCATGGCGGCATACCACCGCAAAGATCCTGCCTGGTAGGAGTTCGGGGAAGACAGGTAAACACAGCTAAATGCTTATATCGTATCATAGGGCAGATGCTCCTGGTGGCATGATCTTCTGTGTGGATCATTCAGAGATCCAAGCTTCTCCCATTTTGAAGCTCCACCTTCCTGCATGTCCTTTCCATCCCCTTGCCTTTCTGAGGCCATTGCCTGGAATTGGGAGGCCTCCTTCCTGCCTGCCGGCCTTGGCACCCCGCAAAAGGGGCCTTGGACGTGCTGTCCAGGAGCAAGCCCAAGAGGCAAGGACAGGTCTGCGTCTATGCTTAAAAGTGTCTGCCACCCGGACTCAGGGAATGAAGCCCAGTGGTTCCTCAGGGAGGACAGCGACAGGCAGCCTGCCTGGGGGTTCACAGGGTGCCGGCAGGCATCAGCTAATCACAGCCAGAGAAGTGCAAGTACTTAATAACATTCATGCACCAGACATTTCCTGTGCGCCCACTCTGTGCCAGACAGCCAACAGAGGCTGGGCACTGGGAGGAGGACATAAGCCCTCTCTGAGGATTCCCTCTGTTCCCAACCCTTGTGCTGGGTGCACAGGGCAGCTGTGAGCACCCCCGAGCCTGGAGACCAGATCCTTAGGGTTCCCCCTCGTTCCCTGCACTTTGTCGTGAAGCAGATTGAAGAGCACAGCCATTCCCTTCCGAGCTGCCTCGCTTTCAGGGGCATTCTTTTCCTTCTCCGAGGTGTCCGGGAGGGGTGACGGGCTGGTGCATACTGGAGGGTTGTCATCTCTGTGGTGTTTGTTTCTGTCTGTTGACAAAGTTAGGGAGCTGGCCCGATGTCATAGAACTGCTTGGATGCTGCGGGCAGTGCAGGGACTGACCCATTATCCCACAAAACCTGCTCTTTTCAAGTTACAGGCCGTTGGTGTTGGAAGTGGCTACTGCTGCCTCCACTGCCACCTATTTTATGGTGGGCCTGGCTGCATGTGCAGCAGAGGGTTGAGATCGGGGCAGACGGAGTGTCCAGCCTACAGCCCCCTGGGCTTCAGCCAGGTGTCAGATCTCAATCCCAAAGTGTGGACATTCTCTCTGTAACCCTGGACCACCAGGAAGGATCTTGGAACTGATACATAGAACAGTGAGAGTATTCTCCAAATACTTTCCCCAAAAGTGGGCATAGAACATGGATTTAACCCAGGCTGGAACAGATGGTGGGGAGAAGTTTCTTAATCTCTTCCTGTGATTTTTTTTTTTTCAAATAGTCAAATCATTCAGGGCAGGAAGGTAGTCTGGCTAACGTTCCTGAATCCCCTTCCACCCGGTGCTCATTGCTTCCCCACGCATCTCCAGTGAAGACAGTGAGGACCACAAAAGGTTAAATTTCTCAGATAAGATTAATTCGGCCATCTCCGTGAAATGGTGGAGGCAGAATAGCATTAGACTCTCTAATCTCATTTCTCTCGCGCTGTCTTCCTTGGAGCCTATCAGACAGTGTCCTGGCTGAGAGTCAGGCCCGTGGGTCCCAGGCAGCAGCCTCCGCCTGGCTCTAGCTCTGCCGAGAGGGCCCGTCCTTTGGAAAATGTAGCCTACCTTGTAAGGAAGGATGAAAAGGTACCAAGTGCGCCTTGCTTTGCATGTTGGAATATGTGGAAGCTGTCATTTTCCGTGTTGCCTTAGAGTGGTTTGCATGACCTGTTAGAACCAAACTTAATGTGACTGTTTGTATTTTGCCAATCTCAGATCTCTGTCGGTTTCCAGAGTTACTGCCTGGGGTCCTAAATATGCTAATTAGTCGGGAAGATCTGAGCCTTTTGAGTGTATAACTGTGCATTCGAGATGCAAATGCAGTGACAATTTTGTCCTTGTTCTAATTGCTCCTTGACACTGCCTGTGATTTTCCTGAACTGTTTTAAGCCTCTGGGGTGTCTCGGTGAGGGGTGGGGGATGGCTATTAACTGCTGTCTGTGAAGAGCTAAATATTGTAGGTTTTTAGGTATTCAGGATTTGGGTTAACCTTGATTTTTTTTTTTCATATTGCCACATATAACAATCTTAAAAAGGGAAAGGGGGATGGGTGGGGGCATAGGGGACCTACAGGGATTTTAAAGTTTTTTTTTTCTCTCTTTTTTTTCCTGCCTAAAATATAGCCTTCAGTATTGCCGGTTATTTTTGCATTTTTGTATTTGGGGTGCAGAGGCTCTCTTAAAGGAAAGACATTGTAAGACCTAGTTGAGCAGCTCTGTCCCCGGCCCTGAGTTTACTGCAGGGCTCCCGTCCCCTTGGTTTACACAGAAACGAGATGATAAACCACCCACCCACCCACAGCCTCGGACATTTCCATCGATTCCGAATGACTAAATGCTTAATTCAATCACCTCGTGGACTTCAGGGATGACTCGGGCGTTTTCCCCCCAACCGAGGGCTCCATGAAAGCTGGGCTCTGCAATGGCCGCGGCTGTGGCCGGGAGGCCCCCCTGCAGTGAGCAGCCCGGGCACTGCAAGCCTGCTCCTTTGTAGGAGCTGGTTTGGGTTTTTGTTTCTTTTTTTGCAAATGATAGCAGATTTTTGCGGAAGGTTTGTGCAATCGCTATGTATAATACTGATGAAGCATTTTTGTTCCAGCTCTGTCTCGGAAGACCTAGGCTGTAGACGTGGGGATTTCAGTAGGAAACATTATGGATCTGTGGAGCTGGTAAGTTGATGCTGTCTGTTCAGCAGCAGTGCATTGATTGAGTTAGAGACCGCCAAGCTGGTCAGGCCTTTGTGTTGTCTGTTTGCTGTTAGACCGTAGGTGACAGTGTGGTGACAGTGTCGGGATCGGACTGGAAGGAACAGCACAGGAAGGGCTACGATGACTGGAGCATTAGGTCATCTTTATTTGTTTTTACGAGCATGTACTTTTATGTCTTCCACTTTGTTTAAAAAAAATTAGATATGTTTGTGGTGCCTTGGTATTTTTTCTCGGTTAATGATGTACAAAATTAAGTACAAAAAATATATTTATATTTAATAATAATTAAGAAGGGCGGCAGTTAATTTTTACATGATCTTATTCTTTAAAGTGTATGAATCTAATTTCCAAGGTTTAAATGTTACATTTGTAATTCATATTCTGGTTTCATGTTAAGTGTTAGGAGTTGGAATATTTACAAGATCTATTTTTTTCCTGTTAAAAGAATATTGATTGGTCTAATGAAATGACTGTAATGAATGACAGATATTTGAAATGAAAATATCCACACTTACCTAATGTGGCCCTTTAAAAAAAATAATATGTTTTCTTTTTAAGAGGATCAAGGAAAGTCAGCATGCAGTAGTTTCAGTGTCTTAAAAAATAAAATTGTAATTTTTTTTTCCAGAAGCATGGAAATTTGAGCGAATTTTCAGGAAATGTATTCCTAACATTATATTGCTTATCCTTAACTATTAAAAACATGAAGCACTATTTATGTCCTTTTAAGAAACAAGTTGTTTATATCCACTAGTGCAGTGCCCACTTATCCTCCATTGCTATAAGTTGCCTTCTTGCAGATTTTAAGCAGTGGAAAAATGACAGCAGAGTTGCAGGCCTGTAGCATTCTGCTTGAATGCAAGCCTAGATTACAGAACGGACCCAGGGCTATACTTTCCTGAAAGTATTAAAAAGAAAAAAAAAGTACAAGGTTTGGCACTTGTTCTTAAGGAGCTTCCTGCCTCTACCTGGGCAGGTGAGATACATAAAATATCTGAAGGAGGAATTCAGTCACATCAAAGACGCCTCGATTGACTCCGTTCTTGCCAGTTCGTGGCAGTCACTGGTGACCCTGTTAACCTGGGATTCCCCCCATCCCAGCCGCACCTCGCCCAAAGAGTGGGTGCACAATTGTGATTCCACATGGGAACTGGTAAGGATTATGAGTGACACAGAGCACAGCATGGGTGGAGGGGGCCTCCATCCAAGCCAGGGGTCTCAGGGAAGGGCAGGAAGGCCCTGTGAGATGCTCTTGGCTGGGCTGCATTCCAGGAGGAGCCCTGCAGAGCGCATGAGTACCAGGGCCCCATGCAGGCGACTTTGGGGTTCTAGCAGAGATGCCTTCTGGAGCTGCTTCCCCCAACTTCTGTGACCAGGCAGTTGCCTCACTTCTGTCTCTTAGTAGTGCTGATTAACTTGCACCCCTGCCCCCCAAATCCTCCTCCTTTCTTCACTTACCAGTTGTATAATCATAAACCTGTGTTGGCCTCAGTTTTCTCATCAGTAAAATGGGAGTAGTGATGGCAGCTATGTGGCCTTGTTCATGAATATTAGATGAACTGGTGCACACAAAGCACTTAGCACATGTCACAGACCCCATTCACTGGTTGTAATAGGACGGGTGAAATCTGGTCCCAGAAGTGGAGCCCTGCACAGCAGGTACGAACCCAGGACTTGTCATAGGAAATACCATGGAGCCCTGGTGGGCAGCAAGTAGACTTGCAGAAATCAGGGGTCAGATGGCCTGTTGACACCAGTGGGCCTGCGACTAGAGCAGGCATCAAGATCCTTGGGCAGCCCTCTGGAAACACTGACCGCTAGGCCCCAGACCAAGAGTTTCAAATTCAGCAGGTGTGGGGTTAACCCACAGCTTCTAACAACCTGCTGGGTGGGGGTTGATATTGGTCCCAGGACCATTCTTGAAGGACCACAGCCTCTGAGAAGCCCTGCCAGTCCACCAGTTACCGCCCAATCCAATAAGGCAGCAGGCCACCCAAAGTTCTGCAATCCTCTGGAGCCAATTGTGTGTGTGTATGTGTGTGTATGTGTGTGTGTGTGTGTGTGTGTGTGTGTGTGTTTATCACTGACTTTCTGAAAGATTACAAAACAAAAGTTCAGCATATACTGTCTCACTTTGCAGCAATTGGCTCCAATTCTATTTGGTATCTTCCAATATTTATAGCTACAAGTGTCTGCTACAAAATTGAGAGTACATGTTTAATTTTGTATTTTTCCTTTGCTTAATATTTTGCAAGTGTCTCTCTTTTTCTTGTGTAGTCTACAAAGCTGCAAAGTTACTCTTTTAATGCGTGTGTGTGTGTGTGTGTGTGTGTGTGTGTGTGACAGAGAGAGAGAGAGAGAGAGAGAGAGAGAGAGAGAAATACCCAGGGTGTTGATCAACGGCTGTCCGTGTAACCTTTTTATCCTTTTGTGAAAAGGCTGGTCCTCGCTTTCCCATGTTGTGGCCACATGGTTGGGATGAAGGAGATGAGCAAAGCTCCAATTTTTGCCATCTCAGGAGCTCTTGAAATTCTGTTCCAGGGTTTTAAAGGAATGGGGTATTTTCTTTTACTTCTGGGAGTTGGGTTCAGGACTACTCCCTCCCCATGGATACTAAAACCTCTGGATGCCTGAGTTGTATGAAGTGGTATAGGATTGCCTATAATCTCTGCATGTCTTCCCTCTTCTCTAGGGGATGTGTAGTGTTGAGTATAGTGGTTGTGCTGTACTGTTCAGGGAATAAAGCTAAGGAAAAGAATGTACACATTCAGTACAGAGGCAAGTTTTTTGATTTTTTTCCTCCAAATGCTTTTTTTTAAAGATTTATTTATTTATTGGAAAGTCAGATATATAGAGAGGAGGAGAGACAGAGAGGAAGATCCTCCATCCAATGATTCACTCCCCAAGTGAGTGCAACGGCCGATGCTGCGCTGATCCAAAGCCAGGATCCAGGAACTTCTTCTGGGTATCCCACACGGGTCCAGGGTCCCAAAGCCTTGGGCTGTCCTCGATTGCTTTCCCAGGCCACAAGCAGGAAGCTGGATGGGAAGTGGAGCCACCGGGATTAGAACCAGTGCCCATAAGGGATCTCGGCGCTTGCAAGGCGAGGACTTTCAGTTGCTAGGCCTCGCCGGGCCTTCCGAATACTTTCTTCATGCAGTTGGTTGAATCCATAGATATGAAACCCACAGATATGGAAAGCTAACTATAATATTAAATTAAGAACTGTTCTGTATGTTCTATGTTCAGAGGAAATGGAGTTATAAAAAATCTTTGCGGAATCCACTGAATATTGGGTTTCTTGGCACTCAAGCTCTGTAGAAGGGTGGCCAGGATTATGTATTTTTGAAACTGAAATTTTAAGGAGCTGGTACCATGACATAGTAGACTAATCCTTTGCCTGCCACACCAACAGCCCATATCAGCATCAATTTGTGTCCTGGAAGCTCCACTTCCAATACAGCTCCCCGCTTATAGCCTGGGAAAGCAGCAGAGTATGGCTCAAGCCCTTGGGCCCCTGTACCTGTGTAGTAGACCTGGAGAAAGCTGCTGGCTTGTAGTTCAGATGAGCTAAGCTCCAGCCATTGTAATCATTTGGGGAATGAACCAGTGGATAGAAGATTCTCTCTCTCTCTCTCTGTAATTCTGCCTTTCAAATAAAAATAACTTTTTTAAAATATTGAAATTTTAATATAACTTCTGACCCCGAACAAGTTAGGGATAAGTCTTTTATTATAAATTTATTTTGATGATGTTTACATAGTTGGGAAGGGTATATGCCTGTGGACCACTGATTAGGGTTGGAAGGATAAGGAATGGGACAAAGTGGATGAGACAATTGCTTCCAAAAATTTTTTTCTGTATCTAGGAGAAGGGGAGAGGGCTGCTCCCAGCAGCCTAACCACATCAGTATCTGGGGATGGGGGACAGCCACTCAATGGCATCCCAGGGTCCCCGATGTGGAGCATGTTCCGAGGACACTGCTTAAGTGGTTTCGATGGTTCTGAGATGCTGTTGATTTCATTGCTTCAAGGCTGAGGAAATCCCTCCAAAGTCCATTGGCGAACAGAGTCCACCTTGGAGTCTCCACTCACCCTGATACTTGCTGTCAAAGCTCGGCCAGGAATGTTGTCCATTTTGTTCTGCCCTCCCTAATAGACATCCTCTGCAGACCTCAATGATCTGTCATGTCCCTCATGTGCACCCTGGGCACATGTGCACCTGATCCACGGCACAGGCCTCAGCAACTGAGGAGGCCCAGTTCTGACACAAGCATTCCATGGTCAGACCACAGATCCTGTGGGTTTTCCCCATGGTTGGACTTTTCAGTTCAGCGGTCCATTTGGCTGGGAGCGGCAGGGGTGGGAGTTCCCAAAGAAACCGTGCACACACTGGGCCCTCATACACATCAGTGAGAATTGCAGCTTTGTCAAAGTGACCCCCAGTAACCCCCACCAGGCCTGCCCCCAGCCACGTTCTTGTGCATGCCAGTATGTGTAGCAGACTGGTTTGGTATATTGCATATCGCATTTGGCTCTCGTACACACCAATGGGTGCTGCAGCCCAGCTCAGCCTGACCAAGACCCACTATTCAGCCCACAATTATGGTGGCAGGAGCTACTGCCTGTCCAGCCAGACCCACCTCCAGCCCTGGTTCTCATGCTCACTGGTGGGAGCTGCAATCATTGGAAGGGTGCACACACAGTTTCCCTATTCAGCCCATTCCCAGCCCCAGATCTTGTACTGTCCAGGTGGTACTGCAGTCTAGCCAGATAGTATTTACCCCGATTCCCAGCACTTGTCAGCTGATGCTGCAGCAAAGCCTGATCAGCCTACATTTAATCTGGCTCATACATGCACCAGTAGATGTAGTCTCCTAGTCTACAGCTTGGCTCTCCCCTTAAACTGGCTCACACGTAGGCTGACAGGTATTGTAGCCTTGCCCAGCCTGGCTCGCCCCA